CAAAATCACATTTAGAAATATTACTAGCAGTTACTGAATCAGCAACTTTTACTCATCATTATCAAAACAACAATCTTGAAAGTTCCATAAACTTCAGCAAATGCCACATTAATAAGATCTTATCACCCAGAGAATGGGGTCTTAACCCTAATGGTGAAAAAGCAATAAGAATTATCGAAGGAATATATATTTATTTCAATTATTGGGACTATGTCCAGGCTTTCACCCAAGCCTTTTATTACCAAAATCCTAAGAATAAACATTCTTAGTTTTTCTCAATTAATCCAAACGTGATTAATAGACCCATTCCAAATTGGTTTTGTGCCTGGTGGATTATATTTGGTCCTACGTTGGAAATTTTACCAAAAGAGTTAAATAAATTGTATACTCCTTGGTGCGAAAATAGTCCACTAGTGTTAAATATTTCATCAAATTTGATAACTGGACAATGTCCATTTCTTTTCTTCACTAAGTTTCGAATTCTTTGGATTTGGTGATGGACTATCATTATTTTCAGTGACAAGTCTAATGTCCCAATTCTAGAAAGAAAATTTTTCTACAAATGGTGGAATAAAATGAGTTTAGAAGACATCTAAGACAAAATTGTTCTAATCAAATCAGCCATGAGTGAAGACAAAAATAGCAATGTTAGAGATCAAAACTCCCAACAAATGTCTATGGGAAACCTGAAAAGTTTTTTTCAAAGAAAGTATCCCAACGAAACAGAAGAAGAAATTATGGTCAGGACTTTGGATCATATAAAGACTCAATTCTTCTACACTTTCCAATCTCAAGCTTCAAAAGATTATATGCAATCTATGAAGACCAGTTCATCCATGGGATCAATAGATCCCAACATCTTTGAAGGTTTAGCTGGCGAAACTCAAAATGATGATCTCACAGCTGAAGACTTCTGGGATGCTATGATTCAATCTATGGCCCAAAAGATTAAATAAAAAGGCAAGGCTAAGCAATGACAAGGGACTAAGCAATGACAAGAATTATCCAGAAGCAATAATGTCAAACACAAAGATAAAAGAGAATCTTATATTGAAACAATAAAATAAAGATAAGAGAGAACCTTATCTTAAAACAATAAAATAAAGATAAGTGAGAATCTTATATGTCTACTTTAGAAAGTTTTTTGTTGTTTGTAAATTAGTATTGTGACGATGAGGCCCAGTGTACCCAACATTAATAATTCATCTTTGTTTGTTGTAACCGACTATCATAGATAGCTATTACCGTCTTAAAAAGTAAGTCTTTGTATCCCTATATAAAGAGATTTTTATTTCCTTTGTAAGTACGTAAATTTTTAAATACAACAAAATTATATATATATATATATATATATATATATATATATATATATATATATATATATATATATATATATATATATATATATATATATATATATATATATATATATATATATATATATATATATATATATATATATATATATATATATATATATATATATATATATATATGCCGACGTATAAGGCTTCTTAAATGATATAGATTTAATGAGAAACAAGCTTTTAAACAGGCTTGCAGGCCCGATCATGTTTTTAACAAGGTCAGGTCAGACCAAAAAAATGAGTCTATAGTAGGTCATAGACCAGGCTCAGGCCTTGTAAGTTTATTGTAGGTCAGGCTCAAACCTTATAAAGTCTAGTCTAGCCTAGCATATTTTCATCCCTATTTTAATTGAAGACATATGAAGATTTAAAAGTTATGTAGAGTACATTTTATCGTTACTCATCAAAGGGTCTAAATAGAAGTAGATGTGACGATTGCAAGATCGAAGATATTCTAAAATTGTTACAACATTCTGAACCATCTGTTTGTAATAAAATGTAATGTAATAAATTTAAGTTAACAATTATCTATGTAATGTTAAGTATTTTAATGTTAATTTGTGTTGTTTTTTCAATATTTTACCATTGTTTCTGGTTTGAATGTTTTTTATTTGATCTAACATAGCATATTTCGAAAATGCATCTCCGAATTCACCCTAATATTAATATGGAGATATATCTTTGAACTAAATTTTAACAAAATAAGAGTGACTCACCAATTTAGACTGATGAGTGTAAAAAATATGCATCTAAAGATATATCTAGGAATTTTATAAATAATTGTGACTTTTTACTGTGACATAGAAGCACCCATAGAGTGAAGGAGTACTTCCTTAATCTATTGGCCTAGCTATAAAGTATGGAGTCCCCTGTGAAAAATTATGTTAAGAATATAATTGTTAAAAAATATAATTGCAAGGAAATAAAATAGACGCTCTTGTGAAACTTTAGAACTTGATTAAATGGAAGACAAACCTTCATATATTTTTGTAGGCATGAATCAAATTAATATTAACCTCATTACAAATATAAGTTGAAAAGGATTTCACGTATTATATTTTCTAACACTGATTGCACACTAGGACAATAATGGCCGTCCAAATTGAGATACATAGCAACAAGAATCCAAACTTTTTTCAAGTTCATACAGCTTTACACGACATGTCCAAGGTTGTATTGCATCAAACTATGTACTAAATCACATCATACATCATATATCTCTAGATATTATCAAAAGAATATCAACATGTGGATACCCTTGTTATTGTCTTCAACTAGAATCACTAATTAGATAGTACTGTATTACATTCAACATAGAAATGTATCTAATAATTCATTTCCATGCCATAGCTACAACACTTCTTTCAATCTCAACTTTACAATGGGGTTTCCCATTTTTGTTCTTCAACTCATCACTTTTTCAGTTCTTGCTATAGCTCAAGAAGAACCTAAAGGGAACCCCAAAGATAATAGTGAAGCCCAAGATAAACAACCTTCAAGTAATAAAAACAACTCCAATCTTTTACTACTAATTCTCAATGTGGTTCTTCTTTTCGCAATTATATTGCTATTGATTCTTTACTACAACACTTCAAAGAAACTCAATAGAATAATGAAAGGACACATTAACAACGTGTCTTATGAGCAAGAGAAAGATGTTGAGACAAGCATTGAGAAGAGGATTGAGATAGGAGAAGGAACAACAATGATGACAGTGGAAGAGAGAAAGGAACTTATGTTCTTTAATGATGAGACAAAGTTTCAAATGGGAGAACTTCTTAGAGCTTCTGCTGAGGCATTAGGACAAGGAATTATGGGGAATAGTTATAAGGCTATGTTGAGTAATGGACCTAACATTGTTGTTAAGAGGTTAAGGGACTTAAAACCATTCACTAAGGAGGAGTTTGCTAAGATGGTGAAAATGATTTCTGATCTTAGACATCCTAACTTGTTGCCTTTGCTTGCTTACTACCATTCAAGAGATGAGAAGCTTATTCTCTATAAATATGCACAGAATGGAAATCTTTTCTCCAAACTTCATGGTAATTTACATCAATTTCGTCCTTTTTCATTTTTTATTCTAAATTTTTACCTTAATCGTTATCGTCCACAAAATATAAGAAACAATACTCCTTCCGATCCAAATACAAGTACATTTTTTCTTATATTTAAGGCCGGAGAAAATACAATAAAACTTAATTAGTCAATATAAGAGAGATAGGAAGTGATCTGTTGAGTGTTGATTCAAAAAAATAATAATAATAATAAGAGAAGGTAGATATAAGTAGAGTTTTGATACACTAATGTTCGAATTCTTTTACTTTTGTTGAATCAACATTGATTAGGCCATAGTCTCATTTTCTGAAGAGAGTAATACCATGAGGTTTCTATCAGTGTGGAGCAATCACTATTAAAGTTTCAAACATTAGTCCATTTTAGATTATATGCGCTTCTCCACCATATGAAGCACGCGAAAGAAATGTTTTCTTTGATCAAATTAAAAGAAAGCGTGCATGTTAAAATGTTACATAATCTTATAATAGTAACCAAATTTTGCATCACTTTATTTCAGATGGAAGAGATGGAAACAGGGTTCCATTCAATTGGAACTCAAGATTATCAGTGGCAAGAGGAGTGGCTAGAGCACTAGAGTACCTTCACCTCAACAACAAGATCCATAACATAGTCCCTCATGGAAATTTGAAGTCATCAAATGTACTATTTGATGAAAACAATTCAATTCTTGTATCTGACTTTAGCCTTTCCTCCTTGATAGCACAACCAATTGCAGCTCAACACATGGTTGTTTACAAATCACCTGAATATGGTTATGCAAGAAAAGTTACAATACAATCAGATGTTTGGAGCTATGGATCACTCTTAATAGAAATCCTAACGGGGAAAGTTTCTCTCTGCTCAGCTCCACAAGGGACTAATGGTGTGGATCTTTGTAGTTGGGTTCATAGAGCTGTGAGAGAAGAATGGACTGCTGAGATATTCGACAAAGAAATATCTTGTCAAAAGAGTGCTCTTCCTGGGATGTTAAGGCTGTTGCAGATAGCGATGAGATGCATCGAGAGGTTTCCAGAGAAACGCCCCGAAATGAAAGAGGTGGTTAGAGAAGTCGAGAAAATACAACAGATACACTTGATGTCTGAAGATGACGAAGATGCTTCTTGTGATAGGTCTCTAACCGATGATTCCTTTTCAACTAGTAACTCAGGGATTTTTATTGGAGATGAAAGATAGATTGATAGATAGATTATCATAGATTGGATATCTAAACCTAAAACATATTGTTCCTTTTGTTTTTGGTATCAAGGTAGTATAGTGCTCCAAAAGAATAAAGTCACACTTCTATGCATGTTAATTTCTGTCTCTAAATGAAGACTTAAACCCATTGCAATACATCATATATTGCTCCCTTATGATCAGCACAAATGTAAAATGAGCATCGGTAATCATGTTACAAATTACAAATGTACATCAGTGTCGTGGCATTCAATGCAAAACTGGATCACAAACTTAAAATGGAGTCTAAGCATGTCTGAAATAATTATACATCATCTAATACGATGGCGTGAAAACTATAAACTACAACAACATGATGCGCTAAACCTGGTTTTACATTCATTAGGTGTTACCCCCTAAAAGCTTTTTTTCTACATCGGTAGAAAAATCTTCCTGAAAGACCTGATTCTCAGCCTTTACTGGATTGATAGATGATTCGTGTATCTGTCAATTAAACCAGAAAATTAGGCTAGAACCAAACAATTGCGTTATACTTTACTGAAACATGTCAAAATTCATGAAAGCATACCATGGCACTGGTTTTGAAAGGTGCAATATCATTTTGAAGAACCGTTGATTGATTGGTGGGCCTGTGAAACAATAAGTGTGCTATAGACCTATCAATAGGATTTGTGTTGGTTTCAATATCCATGAACCCTGTACACCTGAAGGAAGCAATGTGTTATCGATCAAAAAGAAGATTAATTCATAAACATTGTTGTAAAATAATATTTTTAAAAACACTGTGTATTGCAGATACGCAGAACTCGCAACTAGCGATACTCGAAATAATGTTACACGGTTACTCAAACTCTGATATCTCTTCATAATAGCTACCGTGTTATCGAGACAGATAATACTGATGTAATAAAAGCGAATAGTACCTGCTAGCATCCTGAGCCACTGTGTCTTTGAATGTTTCGGTACCATCTCCAATGATGGCATTTGCATTTGAATTATTATGTCTTTCCTCAGAACTCTTAGCTAAGCGATATAAACTGTCCCTTATGCACAGTTTGGTTTTAACATCCAACTGCAATCAAACCGAGTGATTGATTTTCAACAATAAGTGACATATATAAGTAACAACCATAGGCTCGTTCAGTTTACAAAAACATTTTCAGTTCACAAAAAAAAAAAAAAAAAAGCTTTTGAAAAACTTGAACATCGTAAAAGATTCTAATACCTGATCCAACACCTGTTGCAGGTGGTAAAAGCTATTTGCTTCAAACGAGTTTTGGTCAAGAGCAGAGCTAATGGGCGAGCTTTCCTGTACAGTTGATGAGTCTATTTCTGATGAAAATCCCAAACTAACCCCTCGAACTTTACTTTGACCTTCATTTTCATTTTCAAACTGATGAGCTACCAGCTGAGAAGAACCTGGACTGTAAAATGGCATTTCATTTGCCCTTCTTTCGTTTTTGAAACTCCTACTTAAGAAGTGTCCATCATGGCTATGATACTTTTCTCTCTTCTCATTTGTTTTGAAAGCAGCAGCCTCCGAAGAATGACCATGATAACACTCCGTGTTTGAAGCATAAGACGGTTGTATAAAAGGAGGCTGATGTCCATCATGCTGAGCTCTTGGTTCATAGAAAGTTGAAGAGACGGAAGTGTGATTTGTAGCATGACTAAAGCCTGGATGTGTTAAAGGAATTTGAGTCGGTAGGCAGCCTAAAGATTCATAATCTACGATCTGCTTATGCTTTTGATTACTATCAAGAGAAGTAACTCCACTAGAAGAGGCTCCAAACTGCTGATTTATATCTCCATATAGCTCAGAATTGCCAATTTTCCGCTTTCCTGCCGATGACTTTGGAAGCTTTTTCTGCAACGGTAGTACAAAGAAACGGTTGGCGATATTCAAATTAAAAAAGAGTTTATTAATTCAGATTACAGCTTCACACTAATAAAATACACCAGGCATTCAGAAACTAACCCACCCTTGCTATCAAACTTGCATTGTAAACACGACAAACCCAACAAATTACCCTCAAAATGAAAGAATTTATTTGAGTCCTGCACAATGGTCAAGCACAATTTCCCATTAAGTGAAAATAGTGAAACATGAAAAAACATTATTCACAACAAATGGTGTGATTACTAGATTTCCCAAAATGCACACTCAGTATAAGTTACAACTATAATCAGGATAAAAAGAATTAGGCCATGAATATACCATAAAACCATCTTAGGAAAACTATATACTAAAATATTTTAATTTCTGTAGAATTTCATTATTTCATTATAAAACTTGTGGATAAATCTATGATCATATTCAGAGACAGACTGAATCCCGTTCAAGAATACATGACCTGTGAGGTCAGAGGTGCGCGCATGTCAAAATTATTTTGTAATGTGCCTTTGAGAGAATCATCATATGGAAATTTTTATGAGCCCTGTGTGTTCGAAATAATAGCTTCATAATTTGAAATTCAAAAATTCAGAACCCAGGTTAAAAAGAAGGCAACCAACAAACCTTTTTTTCGGGCACCAAGGCATCTTTATGACCGGATTTTGTGTCTGATTCACTGAACATCGATAATGAAGCAGCCACACCGTTGACATCCACATCCGTTTGAGCTCTTATCTTCTTATCATCGGGGGATGACATTTTGTTCGAACCATTGATCGGAAGAACTTCAATATTTTCCTGGGAGGAATCCATATTATATTCTGATAAGTTATTTAATGGACTCATGTCTGCACAATGAAGCTTTAAGTCAGACATTAATGCATCATCGGAACCTTCAGCACCATGCGAAGAAGAAAACCAGCAGAACTCCTCTTCATTATTGAGACTCTCCATTCCAAAATTTAAATCACAACTTCTGCAATTTAAAAGTGATATTTAGATATTTACATGACGATTGCAACAAATCGATCAATTTTTCAGACAAAGGAAAAGATGAGGAAAGTTCTGTCAAATTGGAGAGTTTCTTACAACATCCTGTCAACATCTTCTAAGTTTCCCATATCCAGCCACCCATCAAGAAAGTTGAGTTCATTATCAGCTTGAGATGTGTGGTTTTTTGGAAGTTGGCGCACACTATCATCTTCCACCACACACTTGTTTTCTGAGATGGTATCATCTGCACAAAGCTCGCTGCCACCAGAATCTATATTGCTGCTCTTGAAAAAATGGTCAGACATGCCTGTATCATCGGAAGTTAGCCTTTTTTCTTCTCTGTACAAGTCACCGTCACATGAAGAAAATACACCTTCAGGTGTGTCAGACCATGAATCCTTTTCTGGCATTCTTTCATTCTGGGCCATATTTTGCAAGTATAATTCCTCTTTACCCAGAGTTTCATAGCTACTAACACGATCGCTACTCCTTATACCATGTAATTCGTGAAGTGATTTCTTACCGCCATCACCCTCTATTACAAACTGATTATTGTGTGGGCTACCAGAACGGGGGACTGTGAGATCATCATTCTCGATCTCATCAAATCCATCCCACACATTATCTTCAAACTGTAACACAAAGATAGATATTTAGCAAATTCCTTACAGTAATCTGCATGACAAGATGTCACAAAGCATAGAAGAACTTGTACACATATAAGTTTCAAATTTACCATTTAATAAGAATTGTATTCTGTACAATTCACGTAAACAGTAGCATCAGCTACACCCACCACCAAACCACAATAAGTTTCTACAGGGAAGTATTTCTGGTGTATTATTTAATAGCTACCAAGTCCCTTCTGCATCTGTAGCACTTTCGAACTTAGATTGCACAATAGCCTGCTTTTAAGGTTATGCTACAGACTAGAAGATAATCAGTACAGCAATATAAATGTCAAATTAAGTCCAGAATAGACAGTGATATCATCAATAAAATTACAGAATGGTTCGCATGATGAGTAACAGATACATATTATTCAATTATCTCCAAGATCTACCACCGAGCATTAGCAATAGGTCAGCCTAGTTAATTTGCATCTTATACCGTGATATTACCAATGTAACTAACTTACTCTAGCAATAGGGCCGACTGTATGTTCTGTGCCATGTTAAGATCAGAATTTGAAGTGGAGAAAGTAAATATAAGCCATGGCGCTATGTGAGTATATTGTGGCAAAGCCGCAAAGAAATATTGTATTTCTTAGTTCATACCTCAAACATGCAGATGTTTGACATTCCTCGCGGATCTTCTATCCACATCTAATGATACATTCAAGGCTTGACCCAATGCCATGTCTATTTAGCAAACCTGTCATCAAAGATGTTTTTCAATTACAGAATACACCAATCATATAACATACCTGAAGTCACAAATTTGAAAAACCAAACTAAAAATGAAAAATAAATAAATTATTCTGAACTTTGAACATAAGCATAGCTAATAAATATTACTACGGTCTTGTTTGGATAAACAGCTTATTTCGCACCTTATAGCATAAACACTTATAGATAAGCTATTTTTATAACACAATAAAATAAAGATCCAGAAAAACTCAAGTTCATTTTCACAGTTTCCTTATTAGCCAAACACTTCACCAACCAGATTTCTATGTTCTAATCAAATAAAAAATTCATGACTCCATAAATCAAACATACAAAAAGTATAAAAAAATAGAATAAAAATCACAGCAATTAAAATCAAACCATTAATCCATAACTACTAACTTAAATAATAACTATAAAATCAAATCTCAAATATATAAATAGTGATTTAGAATCTAACTAGCTTAATTAACTTTAATATACTATATAATCATAAAACTAATCTTAAAAAGAAGAGTACGAAGAAGCTGAGTTGAAGACATGTTGCTTCTCAAGTCAAACTTTTCTTCATATTCATAAACTTGAGAAGAAGAAAGTGATTTTACCAAAACGCGAAATCAGCAAGAAGTGGTTATTGAGAGCTTTTTTTCACTTCAAGCGTTGCTTGGGTTGGGAGTTGCGATTCCTTTTCTTTCCAGACCCTTCTTTCCTATCCCACTTCAACTTGCACGAAAAAAAAAAAATTGTTTTTATTTTTTTTTAATGTTTATTTGATTTTTTTAATTTAGGTATAAGAGGTATCACAGAAAAACCGACACGTGGTATGAAAATGGTTGGAAATATAGTTCGTGGTTAGGAGGTGGGTGTTTAAGATCCGATCCGTTACTGAGTTTTTATTGGTCCACGTGGAATTTTGATTTTAGTAGTGGACACGTGTCTGGTGGGGTTTCGTTGTGCCCTAGGCACGTGCGTTCGTATAATTGTATTTAAAAATTTTATAATTACCACTTGTGATGCCTTTATTTTCGAATCTCCTCATTTTTTCTCGTCCTTGGAAAATGGTTTTCATGTGAGCATTACTAGTAATTTTTAAATTATTCAAATGGTATCCTAAAATATATAAATTTTTTTGTCTTTTTTTATTATAATTTTATTTGTTTGGTTTTAATCTTTCTAAATATGCTATTTTTATTTTGTTTTTTTTAGGTTTTTGTAAAATTAATTTATAATAAAATTAGTCCTAAAAATATATAGGCAGTTAGGTGTTATTAGTTCTTGAAAATTTAATATCACATGCATATTACTAACTAAATAGATCAATTATGATATATATTAATTTTATAAGAAATAAAATAATAATAGACCAAAAACAAAATTGCATAATATTTATAAGGATAAAAAATAAACAAATAAAATCACATGGACTAAAATTAAAAAATAATATATTTGTAATCAATTACATATTTAAATTTATTTTTCCATTACATCAATTACTCCCTAAAACAAATAATAATTAATAAATAAATAAATAAAGATAATATTGATATAAAATAATAATGAATTATTGCATTCACCTGTGAAATCGAATATATTAGTCTATATAATTACTAGTGCATAGAGGAGACTTGATTTCTATCAAAAATCGTAAAAACTACATACTTCAAATAATTAAAGAAAAAACATTAATGCAATAAATAAAAGGCCTAATTGAACTTTTTGTCTTTATTTTTTTGGTACATAAACTTGTGCACAGAATATCAAAACAAAGGTATTAATGAGAAATTGTTTTTACAATAACGGCAAGTTACACACTTCACATTCTAAGCCATTCTCGGCCAGTGAGAAAATAATAATTAACAAGAATAATAAAATCCAACAAAATGATCACACAAAACAACAAAATAGTACATCCATAATTCAAATGAAAGCAAAATCGTCTGCTGCTCATTGTTTCTCTCTTTTTTCAAAAATTTGCTGAGCAGATAAATGGATAAACAATTTCGATCATCTGTATGGTTATTAGCATTTCAACTTACAGTTAAATAACCATACAATGCATAGGGCCAATGTACATTATTTCTTCAAAAGCTTCTGGGAGAAAATCTTCTTCGAATACGGGCTATTTCGACAAATTGTTTTGTAGGACTCGATTGTTTCAACCAGAGAATTATGCACATGGCCCTAATGTAGAAGTAAACATAAAACTTATCAGATATGCAAAGGAAACAAAAATACCAAGCAAATAAGATAGAAATCCAGTTGCTCTAAAAGCCAAATCTAAATACGAGAAACCATGAGGTTCATTGATCAAGCCCCAAAATGCTATATGAAGCAGAAAATGAAGTGCGTGAACAAACCTCAGAACACCGAAGAGCCTTCTGAATGACATAATTTGCTTGTGGATCTTGAAGCAATTGGTCAAAGTGAGGATCAGAAAGCAGTTCATGAATGATTTTGTCCCGATGCTCATCATCGAATACTTCAAGACATTTTTCAACCACATGACTACTGTACCTCTGCATTGACATATGCGCATAACTACCTTCAAATTGCAGAGTCAAAGTTGTGGCCGCAGATGGAATTTGTAAGTCCAAGGTGCATTGAACAACATAGTTTCTGCATGAGAGAATAAGAATTAAGAAATCAAAGGGTTGGAAAATGAAAAAGGGAAGCAAGACTTCATCCCATAATTTGAAAGTATAACATGAATTCAAAATATGAGGGAGGAATTTGATGTAGAATTATTGTAACAATTCACTTCAGAAAATAGAGTAAGATATCTCTACCATTTGACAATTATTGTAACAAATTATAGATTCTTTGTTCTGGAAAAAATTGTTTGCAGATAAAAAGTGGACAATCTTAAAAGTAAAACTTACGTACTAAATCTATAATTTTAAGACATGTGCTTTTGATAGTTACCCGTATTTATCTTGAGCTAGCAAAAGAGCATTAGCAAATATTTCTGCAGCAAGCATTTCTCTACGCTCCCCGCTTGAATAACGAATGCATTTTTGTAGAACACAACATCCGTGTTGATGAGTTGCAATCTCCACGCAATACTTGACAGCAGCAACATAGATAAACTGCTCAATGCAAAAACAACATAGAAAATAGAAATATAATTTTTCTACAACAAACATATCTGCCAAAATGATTTGAAAAACAAGTCATACCTTGTTATCTTCATTGCTCAGGCATTCCAAACAATGTTGAACCACATGATTACCATGAAGGTCTTTTATGAGAGTCAAAGATCCCGGTTCAAGAGCCGACACAACTAATGAAATTTGTTGCCCGGTTTTGAGAGTCTCAATCAGCTTCTGAACAACACGGGTGCTGAGAGAAGGGAAGAAAAATTAGGTCAAATTCCAAGTTAGACTATCAGTAAATTATTTCAGGATTTGACTCTTGTAAAGTGAATAAAAAAGTTGATATATCAACACACTCATGAGTCATATGATTAGTTATGTAAGTACATGTAATATCAACAATTGATGTATTCATCCATAGTTGATATTACTCACTTTACATTGTCTAAAGTGAGTTGCTCACTTAGTCACTTTAGAGGTACCAAATTCATTATTTCAATACTTATAAAAAATTTATCATTACCCGTGAGCATTTAGCGAGATTTCAACAAGCTGCCCCGGCTCCTGGATCACCATGAGGATAATCTTCATCCTTTGCTCTTCACTACAGACATCTAACAACTTCTGTATAAGATAATTTCCAAAAGGACTCGTCATAAGTTCGACCATATGACCAATGATCTCGTCAAATATGACTTGAACATCCTCCATTCTCCCCTCTTCAAACATTCTTTGCAGGTACCTGCAGCCATTTTGATCCTGGGTCATTAAATATATGACGCCTCGAGCTTCCGAAAGAGAATTATAATTAGGTGGCAAGGCGAATGGAGCTTCCGACAGAGAATTATAATTAGGTGGCAAATTGAATGGAGCTTCCGACAGGGAATTATAATTAGGTAGCAAATTGAATGGAGCTTCCGACATAGAATTATAATTAGGTGGCAAATTGAATGGAGCTTCCGACATAGAATTATAATTAGGTGGCAAAGTGAATGGAGCTTCTGACAGGGAATTATAATTAGGGGGCAAAGTGAATGTAGAACCAATCCTAGAACTCCTAGGAGTTTCACAAGTTCCCATAACTGGCTGCTGAATAGCTGGCAAAGTGAATGGAGAACCAATCCTAGAACTCCTAGGAGTTTCACAAGTTCCCATAACCGGCGGCTGAATGTCTAGTTCTGACTTATATAGATGCTTAGGAAAGCCAAATTCATGCGTGGCATTTTGACACCAAGATCGATCCAAACTCCCAGCACCAGCATAACTTAATCCCTCATCACCCTGTAAGATGTAGCTCCCCTCCCTTCTAACAGCATCTATATCTATATTTCCTTGTGGCATTCTTGTGGCATTTGAAGGTGGCATAACTCTAGCACTAGGCCTAGAATTAGTACTAAGGGAATGAAAAGGCAGTCTCGATGTTCCAGGTTCCTGCGAGAAATTCATTCCATAGTTTTGTGAATGAAGTGGAGCATGAACATGAAGTGAAGCATGAACAGCTGAATTTCTTTTAGTAAAGTGTGGTGCAACAGTCTCGTGTCTAAGAGTTCCTCTATAATGCTGCTGGCTTCTGTTGTAAGAGGAGCCCATTGAACTTGAAGCACCAAAGTCATTCCATTGAGAGTACATAGTGTCACGCTGACATTGCCCCGAATAAGACCGTGATGATCCAAATGAATTAGCTAATCTGTAATCTCGCCCAGAATAAGACTGTGATGATCCAAATGAATTAGCTCCTCCATAATCTGGAGCAGAATAAGACTGTGATGATCCAAATGAATTAGCTACTCCGTAATCTCGAGCAAATGCTGAATTCGTTTCAGCTCGACGATGGCTGATAGGGTTATTCAAGAAAGGTGATTGAAACCTAGCAGAATCAGAATCCACTGAACTACCAAAACCATTCAATTGAGAGTGTATACTGCCGCGCTCGCGTTGCTCCAAACAATACTGTGATGATCCAAATGAATTAGCCACCCCGTGATCTCGTGTTAGTGCAGAATCCACTGAATTACCAAAGCCATTCCATTGAGAGTACATAGTGTCCCGATCGCGTAGCCCTGAACGTGATGATCCAGATGAACCAGCCACTCTGTAATCTGGTGTAAATGCAGATTGCATTTCAGGTCGGCGATGACTGATAGGGTTATTCAAGCGAGGGGATTGAAATCTCACAGAATCAGAATCCAAGAAACCATTCCTAGAACTATTATAATCTACACTAGGGTTATCTTGTTGATTACTAGTGTACATTCTACTGAAATTGCTACATAAATCAACAAACCTATCAGTGCCCCGGGTGAAATCAGGATAATTAGAGTTAAAGAAGGTTCTGGCTCCGGCTCCGATTGCAGTGGTGGTTGATTTAGGATGATCCTCCATTAGAGGTGGTGTTGGTGTTCCATAATCAGAAAAAAAGCTAGAAGAAGAACCGTTTTCAGATTGCATTGAAAAACCACTGACAGTTACAGGTGATTTCAATGCCTCTTCATCATAACCCCTACCACCATTACCATTGCCATTACCATTACCATTACCATTACCATTACCATTACCATAGTTTCCCTGATTCTGTTTCATTACAAATGATGATGCAAGATCGTGATCGTAATCATGATCAAGATTTTGATAAGGATTAACAAAATCAGCATCGTCATCAGATGATGATGGTGTTACCCTCGGGATCTCATTGAGCAACAATTCAAGCTCTCTTCCATCATCCTTCACGTTGTTCTCTATCATCGTTTTCACCATATCAAACAACAATAATGGTTTCTTCTATCACTCACTCAAACACTGAAAACTGAAATCAGAAAACAGAAAATAAATTAAAAAAGAAACTCTGATCCTATGGTTAGGGTTTGGAATTGCATTTAATCTATCATCTCAAATTTTGGATTTTGATTTTAAAGAGTTGGTGAAGCATGCAAAGGTTCAAGATTTATACTGGAATATCGGAGGTGTACGTTACACACCATAACAAATTGAGTAGACAATAAAATCTAACTAACACTACGCTGCGTGTGTACTAAGTCTTCCCCGCAACAAACTCTCACTTTTTTTTCTCCTTTTTTTTTAATTTTAACTTTTTTTTAAATAATTGGTTTTAATACTCAATATTAAAAAAAAATTACCAAGTAATGTGAACGAGTGACAGTTATTTAATTGAGCACCTTGACGTATCATGTGTGAAATTGTTATATTTTTGTATATGTGTAACTGTAAATGTCATTTTATTTTTATTAAAATAATTTTAATTGTTAATTAGATATTAAAGTTAAAATTTAATTAAAATACAGTCACAATGTAAGAAATTTTACATCGTCATTAATCACAACTTTTAAATTGAAAATTATATTTGATTTTTATTTTAATTATGCATAAAATAGCATTTATGAGTGGTTGTGATGTATTAATTATATAAAAAATTTATACGGATAATATATAGTAATTAATCTCTTATAATTAAATATATTTTTAATTCTTTATAAAATTAAAAAAAAAATTAAGTTCAGTTCCTTATAAAAAAATTAGTCACTTTTCTCTGTTTTTATTTTAGGAGAACTATTTTTATGATTATTTTATCAAAAAGAAAAAGAAAACCATTTTTAAGATTAGAAATATTTATTTTTCTAGAAATTTTTTAAAATATGAACTAAAAATAATTACGTTAAAATTTTGGGTAGGTTTAATAAAAATAAAAAATAAAATAAAAAACTTTTAACTTTTTTTCCATCATTATTCTTTAATTTTAATTAAATAATTTGATTTTAATTAGTCAATATTAAAAAAATTACGAAATGTGTAATGTGTAGGAGTGATAGATATTTAATTGAACACTTTAAGGTATCACCTGTGAGATTATTATATTTTTGTATACATGTAAGTGTTATTTTATTTTTTATTAAAGTAATTGTAATTGTTTTTTAATAGGTGAATAATCTATTAAAAGGGAGAATAAGGGATACTCCACTAAAAATTATAAAAATAAATATCATTACTTCCTAAAATAGAGAATGGGCAAAGTGTTCCAAAATAAAAGTTATAAAAAAACAGAGGGATTACAACCGGAACTCATTCATATCCAAGACTTATGAATGATCGTTGACATACACTCTTCAAAACTGAACGTGACTCCATTGAAAATAACTTCATTACGCATCAACCATATGCTACAAATGGTGGAAAATCAAATGACTCCTACAGTATCTCTATGAAACTTATTCTTCACCTTTAGACAATGGTGGGAGAAACTCTTTAACTCACCCAACGACATGTCCCAAGGAATACCTATCCAAAAATACGCCTTTCTCCATTTTGCAGAAATAAACTCACATAAATTCAAGAGATGCAATTTGATTTCAAGCTTCGATAAACAGAAACTACAAGTGTCACTACTAATTGACAAAATCCCTCGTTTAAGTAATTGATCTTTAGTGGGTATTCTATCTAGGATGAATCTCCATCCAAAAATCGAAATTTTCGACAGGACCTTAACATCTCACATATTGTTTAAAGCTCTCAACACCCATGTAGACTCCGCAATGACGCCTATGAACGAACAAAAAAAATTGAAACACGACTTAACCGTAAATAAACCACATTTATTAACACGACCTGCTATCGATAGATGTTTCTCTCTCCACACAACAAGTTTTCTTCTCGGGCTCTTTAGTAAATATGTCCACATATGTACTCTTTGAGGATTGTCCCTAACCAAGACTCCGAGAAACTTGAAAGGAAAACTTCTTATGTTGCACGAAAGGAACATCGAGGCAGCATTGATACACCAATCACCCACATGATTATCTTACAACTTACTTTTGCAAAAATTGACCTCCAGCCCCGAAATCATCTAAAAACCCCTTAAGATGGCTTTTAAACTCCATAAACTATCGTTGCTACCATCCGCCATGATAGTGGTATTGTCTACGAATTGAAAGATGTTGACTTGATCCTCTTCATTAATCATAAAACCTCTGAAATCTCCCAATTCTACTGCCTTTTGCATTAACCCGATTAATCCATCCATTACTAGAACGAACAAAAACGAGGATAGAGGATCACCTTGGTGAAGGAATCTCTCCACATTGAAGTCCTTAGAATTGATGTAATTGTTAATTGTGTATTAAAGTTAAATATATTTTGAATTCTTTGTAAAATTAAAGAAATTTTAAGTTCAGTTCCTTATAAGAAATTATTCATTTTTCTCTGTTTCTATTTTAGGAGAACTATTTTCATGATTATTTCATCAAAAAGAAAAAGAAAGCCATTTTTAGGATTAGAAATATTTATTTTTCTAGAAATTTTTTAAAATATGAATTAACAGTAGTTACATTTAAATTTTGGATAGTTTTAATAAAAGTAAAAATAAAAAATAAAATAACTTGAATGTTTGTAATTTTATAAGGACTAAAAATAAAATTTAACTAGAATAAGACCCGTGCAATGTGCAGAATATTGATGAATGTTTTCAAGTCGTATTAAATTATATGAGTTTTGATTTTGTTTAGTATAAATGTGGTATATTAGAGATAGTAAGATGAAGAGGATAAAAAAGAGAGAGCATAATTTTAAACGATAAATATATGTTTTAATTAAATAAATAATAAATAAGATGGTGCAATTTAATTTTGAAATCTTAAATAAATGAAAAATAATTTCAATTATTTATTTTTATTTATTTTTTTAATATTTCTAAAAATGTCAAATCCTTATCATTTTATAGGTGAAAGACATTCTACATTTAAACGTCTCAACATTCAAACGTCTCAAACTCTATAACTAATATCATATTCTTTTATTTTTTTCCAATATTTCTAAAAATATTAAATCTTTATCATTTTATAGATGAACGACATGCTACATTCAAACGTTTCTGGCTTTATGTAATCAATTATCATAATCAACATGAAGATCTAAAAAAAACCTCTCTATTTTTCAAAAATACACTTTTAATTTTGCATGTTATTCCTAACGACAAATATGTTGAAATATTAAATTAGATTAGATTAAATTAGATTAGATTAGATTTAATATTTAAATATAATCCAAGTTGTGTTAGCCCAAACTCAATTAGGGTTGTATATAAATAGTCATAGTGTGTATTATTACTTGTACAATTTAATAATACAAATCCTTATTTCCTTTATTATTCTCTCTTTCTCTCCTCACTAAAAGTGTCTCACGCACTAACAAATTGGTATCCAGAGCTTCCGATTATTGTTCTTGATCAAGTTTTCAAGAATTTCACATCAGATGTCGTGTTTCTAGGAAAAGTGAATCAACCGCTGCGAAGATGGATAGTGATAAGGGTATTCTGAATTCTCTTCCAATGTTTGACGGTAAAAATTGGATCCGATGGAAAAAACAAATGCAATTCTTGTTTGGATTCCATGAAATCCTAGAAGTGGTTAGCGACGGTGTTCCTGCGTTGGCTGCAAATGCAGCCGACGAACAGAAAAAAGCCCACAACAAAGTCAAGAAGAAATATTACAAGGTTGCTTATTGCATTCAAACGGTTGTCGATGATGCTAATTTCGACAGAATCTCTCATGCTGAAACGGCGAAGGAGGCATGGGATATTCTGGTGAAATATTACGAAGGAGGTGAGAAAGTCAAGTTTTTCAAATTACAAACCTTGCATCGGCAATATGAGTTGTTGTCGATGGAAGAAGATGAAAAGTTGCAGAATATGTGTCGAAGGTTCAGAAACTCGTCCATCTCATGAAGGGTTGTGGTGAAACCATTACTGATAAGATGATAGTTGAGAAGGTAATGAGAATGTTGACTTCTCACTTTGATCACGTTATCATAGCTATTCAAGAATCCAACAATCTTCAAACCACTAAAGTGGAAGATTTGGTTGGTTCGTTGGAGGCGCATGAGATGAGGATTGTCGAAAGGAAAGGAGTTCAGGACTCGATATAGGCACTGCAAGCTCAGTCATTGAAAAAGGATGGTGGTTCCAACAAATTCAAAGGTAAGTTCGACAAGACTCATGGAAAGAGATCTTGGTCGAATTCCTATAAGAATAAGGTCGAAGATAGATCTTCCGAATCCTCGAAAAGGGAAGGAAGAAACTATTGAAAGGACAAAGAAGATAAGAAAGGTATGTAGTGTTATAATTGTGAAAAATGGGGACACTTGGCCAAGAATTATTGGTACAGAAAAGACAAGGGATCGACAGGCAAGGACGAAGGAGAGAACCTTGCACGCCAAGATTCAGATGATTCTGAAGGGGGTATGGTGGTTATGGTTGCAGTTACAGATAACCATGTTGAATCCAAGATCTGGTTTCTCGACTCAGGCTGCTCGAACCACATGACTGGTCGAAAGGAGTGGTTGGAATATTTTGGCGATTCGAAGAAGAGCAAGGTAAAACTTGCTAATAGTAGTTCGTGACAAGCAGAAGGTACTGGAAACATAGTCTTTTAAATGAGTAATGGAGAGAAAGCTATGATCAAAGATGTGATCTATGTATCTGGAATAAAATGCAACTTGCTAAGTGTTGGACAACTAGTCGAAAAAGGTTTCTCAGTTGTCATGAAAGATGGAGTTTTGAAATTTTTCGACACCAAGAAAAATTTGGTCTTAAAATCTCTATTGTTGAAGAATATGACATTTAAGACTATGATCAGTTCGACAGAAGTTCAATGTTTGAAAAATATTGTCGACCATAAAGATAGTTGGTTGTGGCATTTGAGGTTTGGACATTTGAATTTTCGATCACTTAATCAACTGATTACCCAAGA